AGTGACGTTTTTTCAATAAACACCACTATAGATGGACCTATTGCGATATTTTTTTTAAAAAAACGCCACTATTATTGCGGCTTTATTAATAAAATGCCATTATAGATGGATCTATCGCGGTATTTGTCAAGAAAACGCTACTATTGTTGCCCCGAAATCGAATATATCTAAAAAATAGGAGTCCCTTTATAAGAATTTGTACAGGTGGTGTTCGAACCCTGATCTCTAAGAACAACAACAATTTATTTAACTACTTAAGTGAATTGATGTGTTGTAGTTAAATAAAATTTTAAATAAATATTATCGTATGAGTCTAAATGGAAAGAAGGAACAAGGGTGCTTCTGGTTTTCACGTACTCGAAGGTTTTACGACATTTTTGAAGACCGACTAAAACGGCAAGGGTAGTGAATGTCCGCCAAACCACTGAAAATTACAAATTTGCAAACTTTCAAGGAAATCCTCACAATGTAGATTGTTTGCACAATTCTAGAACAAATAAAAGAACGCTAAAAATGAATACAATTGAGTACAAGTAGTGTTCTTGAAAGTAAAATGAATATTAAATGAAAAACAGGCTTGAAATGCTCAAACTTGAGGTTTGATGCTTTCTCTTTGATTCTCTCTTGATTCTTGTTTCTTGTGTTTTTTTTGTTATTGATCAATGGCTTCTAAGCTTGTTTAAATACTCATTCAAATGATTCTGAACATTGGGGATAATTAGTGGAGTCAATAGAGCCGTTTAAGTGTGAAAAAATTAATTAAATCAGTTGGGAGGGTCAGTGCATCGATGCATACCCAAGGTGTATCGGTGCATCAAGTGTAAAATTCAAATATTTTGACCGTTGGACCCTTAGTGCATCGGTGCACTAAGAGTGCATCAATGCATGAAATGCATTCGATGTTTCAAAATAGCCAGAGTGCATCGATGCATGGCTGGTGCATCGATGCATCAAATGCATTTGATGTTTTCATAAAACTCTGAGTGCATCGATGCATAGTATATGCATCGATGCATGAAATGCATTCGATGTTCAATTTATTCCATGGTGCATCGATGCATGGATTGGTGCATCGGTGCATCACTTTGAAAAATTGATTTTGGGCTTGATTTTAGTTCAAAATACTTATTTCAAAAATATATTAAGTATAAAACACAATTTTACACATTTAGTAAGGTTTGATTTTGATCTTGAAAAGACTTGGAGTAATTGATTTGATATTCGAATAATTGAGTCGAATATACTTATAAAATCATTTGTAAAATCTTAAAATTCATTTAACTTAATTTGTTATATCGAAACATAAAAATGTTTTCAACAAACATCCCCAACGGCTCCAAATCACTCCCAACGGCTAGAAACGGCCACAACTTTATTCCAACACATAAATACAAGTTCAAGACACTTGAAGAAGGGTTAGAACATCTATCCAAGCAATCAAACACAAGAGAAAGAGCTTTTCACTCTTTATTTTATTCTCTTCTAAATATTTTTGTTCTCATGAGCTTTATTTTGTAAACACCCTACCTTTAAGAGATTTTATTGTTTACTTCTTTTTATCATTTTGTAAAGGAATTTGGTTCTAGTTTAGCCAAGTGAAAAACTAGGGAGTTGTAAAGGTTACTCTTGATCCTTGAAAATGAAAGAACAAATTAGTGAATTTGTTAGAAAATCCTTAATGATGAGCTAAAGTAGTGGAGGTAGACTTAGTTGAGAAGTCAAACCACTATAAATCGCTGTACCAAATTTTCCATCTTTTACTCTCCTTACTCCCTAATTTTTTTTACCAATATACCCCATTGTGCAATTTTCGGTTGATCAATTTGAGCCTCTTCGATCCTAACACACATCGTATACTTCGGTGGATGAAAGGGTCAGTTGTGTGTTATGAGTTCACCCTACTCTTAGAAAGTTCAAGATTCATTCACTTATTTGAGAGAAGAATTACTCATCGTCACTATGGACTAGTTCAAGATAGGTTCACTAGTGCTTAAGCAACTAATCTCGCTATTGCTTTTTTAGTGTTTTAACTTCAATGCTCTTATTTATTTATGAAATATTTCTTTCACATTAGTGGGGGAACGTTGTTAATTATCAATTCAATTGTAACATATTTTAAAATGTTGTTTATTTTTATTTTAAATAGCTTTAAATTGTGTTTTTGAAATGATATTTTTAGCCTCACTATTTAGCCTATAAATAATGGGGAACTTCATTCATTTTATATCATCCTTAATAAAAATTTTACTTTGAAACACTCTTCCTTTTTTAGTGTTGTTTGAGTTCAGAGAAGAACAAAATACCATTCATGTCCACTCTAGTTTTTTTGATGTACGAATTCTTGATGAGTCGTGCTAACCTCAGGGGGTTGTTCGTCCATTGTAGCGATTACACACAATGAGCCAAATTTTCTTCTAAAGCAGTGAATTACCACGATACAATTATCGTTTGATTTTATTATTTTATTTAATATTTTTCAGTTAGTGTTTACACCTCGTTTTTCCGTAGTCAATTTTTTTCAACAATATTAATACTTTAATCTCTTTCAATAAATCCAATGAGACTAAATTTTAGGTATCTTGTTTGTCTTATTGAAATAATGATTTTCATTATACTTTTTCAAACAAATACCCAAAATCCAGTAAATCTAAGGAAGTCTCAAATTATCTAAATATGATAAATTTCTTGTTTAATTTCGTCGATTTTGATTGTGTTTCAAGTTCCAATAAACACCTCAAAAGTTTTAAATTTGAATAATTATATATACAAAATATGTACTCCCTCTGTCCTATTAAATTTGTCCATTGTTGACTTTTTTTAGTCAAACATTTTTAACTTTAACTCATTATTATTTAAAATTTCTTATTTATAAAAATATGAAAAATATATTTTAAAAACCTTAAATCAATTAGTTTTCAAATATATATTTTATAAAATCTAATTAGTTAAAGTATTTAAAATAATTATGGTCAAAGTTTAAAATTTTTTACTTTTTAAAAGTCAATAATGGACACATTTAATTGGACGGATGGAGTATATATTAGTAATAGTTAAATAATTTTTTATTAAGCTAATGTAATTACAAAGTTGTATCTAATCTAAATACTCTCAATCATTTGACAATGAACGCTCAATCATTCTGCTGCCAGGGCCGTGGCTGGGGCGGCGCGAACTGCGCGACCGCGCAGGGCCCCCAAAAAATGGGGCCCAAAAAAAGAATATATATAGTGACGTTTTTTCAATAAACACCACTATAGATGGACCTATTGCGATATTTTTTAAAAAAAAAACGCCACTATTATTGCAGCTTTATTAATAAAATGCCATTATATATGGATCTATCGCGGTATTTGTCAAGAAAACGCTACTATTGTTGCCCCGAAATCGAATATATCTAAAAAATAGGGGTCCCTTTATAAGAATTTATACAGGTTGTGTTCGAACCCTGATCTCTAAGAACAACAACAATTTATTTAACTACTTAAGTGAATTGATGTGTTGTAGTTAAATAAAATTTTAAATAAATATTATCGTATGAGTCTAAATGGAAAGAAGGAACAAGGGTGCTTCTGGTTTTCACGTACTCGAAGGTTTTACGACATTTTTGAAGACCGACTAAAACGGCAAGGGTAGTGAATGTCCGCCAAACCACTGAAAAAGGGGTCAAATCATTGTTTCTGACCCTTTATATTAGGATTTAGACTTTTATGTCCTTCATAATACCTTTAGTTTTATAATGTTACAAATTAATTATTGATATTATAGCAATCGGGATAAAATTATTAGATCAATCAAATTTTTAATTTTCTATCAAACTTATCGAATTACATTTTAATGTTGTAAAAATAAATTTCATATCAATATTTCTAAAACCTTTATAAGATTTGTCTTAAAAACAATAACTTCAATGTAAAAAGATATATTATTAAAAAGTTACGTTAGTACAATGAGCTAGACGATATATATATTTTTTAAATATAGTATTATTTTGATTTAAATAGCTAAGAATATTAATATTTAAATCAACTAATAAAATTCAAATTATATTAAATTTAAATATCATAAAGGGGTCAAAACATAATTTGGGCAAAGAAAACAGTCCTAATCTGACGTGGTTATTGAATAGATGACGTCAACGTGATAAGGAATAATTTGCTGCTTCGACGAAACTACACCCCCTACTTCCAGAACGCCCATTTTCTGCCAAGCATTTCTTTGTTCTTTTTCCGCCATATCCCTCACGTGTCATGTCACATGTCTAGTAATGGTAAATTATCCAGATAGTCGCCGACTATGAATAGGTTTCATTTGAAGCACTCAACTTTAAAATATTACAAACTATTTATTTGGATTATTCAAAAATAAGTTCTGTGATGATTTTTATTTAAAGTTAAAATTTATAAAAGCCGTCATCAAATTGATATAATAAGTAGACTTTGATGATTAAATCTATTCTTTTATCAAATTTATAAATTGTAATAACATTTTTTTATCAATTATTTAACAGAAATAGATTATTTTATAATTTTGTATAATTTAGTAATTTTTTAGAGTCGAGTAACCATATTAGAAACTATCCTTAGGCAAAAACTTGAATAATTTAACCATTGAATATAATACACAAGTCCCTAAATTATGATCTTTTTAATCATTAAAATTTTAAAAATTATAAAATAATCATTAAATTTATCAAACTATTACAAAATATAATGATATAATACTAACAATAACAATAATAAAGTTTGATATATAAATTCAATGATCGTTTTATAATATTGCAATAATTGATTTTTAGAAATTAAATGACTAAAACGATCATGATCATAGTTAAGGCACCTCTTGTGTACTTTAACCTTAAACAATTAATAAATCTTTAACCGAAATCAACGACCATGATTTTCTCATATTCTTCTTTGACCACCTTGAAAACCAAACTTACGCTCTCTTCTTCCCTTCTTATATATAAAAATTAGCTTGACCCTTATTCCCTTCTTATATATATACCCAATTAATTCTTCTATAGTTTTAGCTTATTTTACTCTTTGGACATGAACCATGTCTGATTGGCCACAGTTCTACGATCAAAGTCTTTCTAGTCAGCAAATATCGAATGGCGTTCGTGTTCTCACATCGGAATCTGTGTTCGGCAGCCAAGGTTCCGATACTTCCGGCTTCGTTAACACTCCTGCGATCACCACGACCACCGGTCCGGCGAACTCGTTAGGCTCGGGACTAGGTGGTGGATCGAGTGGTGGCCATTTGAGTCCCGAAGGCGGCGTCGGGAAGCCAGCTAGAAGACGACCAAGAGCTTCAAGGCGAACCCCCACTACCTTGCTCAACACGGATACCACGAATTTCCGAGCCATGGTGCAACAATTCACCGGTGGTCCGAGTGCTCCTTTCGCAGCAGGAGGTTCTCACCCCAGTGGGGCGAATTTCGGGTTCGGGACCCGCCAACCCCATGTTAACCCTAATAATAACCCCCTCATGCTTCCTCCCGCTGGTTTTCAACTGCAATATCAACAGCAGCAGCACCACTACCTCCAAAACCAGCCCTTGGTTTTCCCATTGAATGGAAACGATGATAATAATCCGGGGAGGGGGGAGGTTCTACTTCAAAGACTGGGCGGCGGAGGTGGCAATCAAAGGACAACCGTGGAAGGTGGTGGTGGAGTGTCGCAAGGGTTAGTTGGGGAGGGCGTTTCCAGACGGGTTCCTGCTTCTAGAACATCAACCTCATCCAATGAGAGTAGGCTCATGTTTTGAGAGGGACGTAAAGCAGAATGTTAGGTACAACTTAAACATTGACCAATGTATATATTTCTTTATGTTTTAATTTCTCTTTTTTTATAAATATGATTTTCTAATTGTTTTATTAAAAAAGCCCACTAATTAGCAATTAACTAATGGGGGTGGAGATTCTTGTTTTCAAAAACCATGGGCCTAATTAAGTTTCATATTAGGTTTCTTCTTGCTTTGAAAAAATATATAAAAATTAGATGCGACTTTATATAGGGTTCATCAGATTATCGTAACTTAATGGATTTTAACTCAATTTTATATATTTAGATTGGGTAAAGTACACTAGTCATCATTGAGCTTACTTTTGTCTCCTATTTTGTTCACTAAACTTTAAAAGTTTTCAGTTTACTCATACTTTATTCATTGGATATTTTGATCACTCCAACATCAAATAATTAAAAGCGTTATGACGTAGAAACTTATACTAAAATGATGTATTTTTGAATCTCTAAACAAAATTAAATTTTGACCAAAACAACATCGCTTTAGTCTAAATAAAAATTTATATTTCTGTTGTTTCCTTTATTTTTCCCTTTTCCCTCTTTATTATTGTCTTCATCCTCCTATTTCTCTCCATTTCTCTATTGTAAAAGCTGAGGAGAAACATGCAATGGCCTTGATCGTGCTGGAGCCAACGAAGAAGACAAAGACGACATAAAGGAAAATCAAGCAGAGATGAAAAATTGACATAAAAATCGAAGTATTATTAACATCGAGCTCAAAGAGACCAAATCTCTCTTTCTTTACCACCCATTGCTCTTTCAACCTAAACACGACCATCAAGCTCCTAACATTTTCCTTTGTTTTTCATCGTCTACATATAAATCTTCACCAAACATCTCTTGTGGATGCTGTTGTTTTACATTTTTCATAATCAAATATCTCCCTTTATTTTGGTTTAAAAAATACACTGAAAATGGTTGCTTTAATCTTCTAGTTATTCCTATTTGACCTGAAATCGATCGATTTAACCATGAGCAGGTTGAATAGAGCTCTAACATGCCTTGGAGCACTGAACCCACATATGTGGCAAAATACGGGGATGATTTGTGGCTAGGGGTGAAAGGCCAACCAAGATCGGATATAACTGGTTTTCCGTGAAATCTATTTCAGTAATGCGTATAATTTTTTTTCTCCATCTATGTACATATGAATGGCTATTTTATTGTGTTTTTTTGGTTCTTGGAACAAATTTATAAGAGCTCCATTAGAGCTTAGAGCTGTTTGTGGACTTTCATAGCCGTCTAATTAATTTACAGACTAGAATATAGGGATTAGGATTTGGTATAGGGTGATGGGTGTTAGTAATTCTTTAAAACTATTTTTTAGAAGTTAATTTTTTATTTTATTAAATATAAATATTATGTAACATCTTGTGGTTAAGTTTTAATATTAAATTAAGCCACATTATATCATTGTTATAAAATTAACGTTTGAGTGACCAAAAAATCTAATACATAAAGTTCAGTGAGTAAATTGAAAACTTTTAAAGTACAATGAATGAAATAACAAAGAGAATAATGTTCAGTGAGTAAATTTATAATTTACCCATTTAGATTTTAGAAAAGTATTGAACTCGTCAAACGACCTTACCTTAGTAGTTAAAAATGTTGTTTCCCTAGAATTTTTTAGCTCGAATAGCTACGTCTCTAAGATATATATTATCAATGATTAAAAAAAATTATAAACATACACTACCTTGTAATTATTTAAGATCATTTTTAAAAAAGAAAAAGAAATATTGAGAAGAGTCTTGTGAGGAAGAGAAATACTTTTAGTTTTCTTCTAGATACCAACTTGACTTTTTGAGTATTGCTAATTTTTAATTACTTTGAATGCTTTTTTTAAACCATGATTTGACTCCAAATTGATGAAATTTAGGAGGAAAATTGAACTTTGGCACTAAACAGGAATATTGTTCCCAAACATCAAAAGTGAAAATAAAAACATATGTTAATGAATAAAGTGGTCAATTAATTATTTTTATTGGAAGTACAACAAAACTTCAAAAATTAATGTTTTAAGCAACTCTTGATCAATGTTATATAAATACAAATTTATATATTAAAAAGAATTGAAATTATTATAAAATTCAATCAATGAAAAATATATTAAACATAAAAATTTAAGAACAATAATTAATGTTTTTTAAGCATGTTAAAAAAGGAGGAAAAGTACATTAGAAATCGAAATGTGTGGGAAAAGAAGTTTGGGAGTGAAACGAATGGGGAAGGGGGGGTTGAACCAAAACGTGTAATGGGACCCAATTGGCATAAAGAGGAGAAAATGGAATTGACAAAGCCAAATTTAGGCCAATTTGAAAGAAAAAAATAAACAGAGTGATTCGCTAAGATTGCTTTCAAATTAAGTATTTATTTGGTAAGAGAAACATAATTAGTGTGCACCTTAATTTCAACATTTTCACAGTAATTATTTCATGTCAAGCACGTTTGTTTATCCGATTCGTACGCTCCCTTGTTCAAACCTCCGTCTCTTTGCCAAAATATTAATTATGTTGCCTTTTTTGGTACGTGTTCAAATATGTTGTTTAAAGTGCAATTATACATTATTTTATTTTTATTTAATAAAAAATATATTTATTGATGAGAATAAAGTTGTGCCGTCGGGTGTGAGTGGTTCCCCTTTTTATTTTTATTTTTATTTTGAAGTAAACGAAATGTCGCGGTTGGTGGGAGATAATCATCGGTTGCTGATAATTTAATGCGGTGAAAGTAACGTAAAGAGAAAATTATTTCAGAAAAATTATGCCAGAAAAAGGAATGGGTCGGGTCACTTCAAGAAATAGCAAGCCCTTATCGTCGACTCCTATCCCACTTATATAAATAAAACTTTAAGATCGATACAATCAATAAAATAAATAATTAAAAAATTATAATTAATGTCTATCTTAAATTAAGGGTGGTTGTCCGCTTACTCAAATAGGTTTTCGATGTTTATTGTTGACGAAAGGAGCACGTCGTCGGACATAGGAACTGTGCTACCATTACGATGAAAAATTACTTGTGGAACCGCAAATGCAAATCGACTCACCAATTACTTTTAATTGATGACGAACTCGACGTTTTGTGGGATTGTTCTTCTCTAAATTCATAGTCTCATCTAATGAAATGCTCAAGGAAAAGTTAGGAGGTTGAGACTCATTCTGCTTGTAATGATCGAATATGAACTGACCTATTAGATGGACATTAATTAAGGAATATTTATGTAGGCATACAAGATTGAATTGAGTAAGTAGAGTATTTTTGGGAGACCAATTATCAGGTCCAAAGGATGAGTTAGTGATTCAAGAAAAAAGGTAAGAACTAAAAGGGTAAATAGCCCATTTAATTAAAGTGTTCCATTATTTGGGAGTTTACCGTAAATTTTTAAGAGGGGAGAGAAAAAAAAACTAATTGTCCGTTTGGTTAAAGAAAATATAGATTATTTTTATTTTCATCTTCTTAAAAAATAAAAAACATTGAAGAAAATATGTTTGATGGTAAAATTAGAAAACGATTTCTAGAAAATGAAAACAAAAATAAGTGAAACTATGAAAACATAAAAAAAGATGTTTTCAATATTTTCATTAAAACTATTTTGGAAATTTGAAAAATAAAAAAATATAAATCTAGATTTTAAACCTAACTTACACATGTTCAAATCCTTATGACAATAAGTTTTTGATTTAATGGTATCTAAAACCCTCAAACTTTTGAAAAAAAATCAATATGATCTCTAAACTTTTTTTACACTCAATGTGGTCCTTAAACTATTTTTTTAATAATTTATTTTTTTTGTATTTTTATATTTAATTTATTAAATAACTTAATAATTATTTATATTTTAAATTTAAATAAGTCCTCAAACTTTATAAAATATTAATTAAGCCCTCAAACTTAGTAAAAAATCAATTAAACTCATTTATCACATCATTATCCATCATGTACTGCCACAATAACGTAATGAACTGTCACATTAACATTGTAGATTATCATGTAAACTTTGTGAACTATCATGTAATCATCTTGACAATTTGATTCAGTTAATCAAAAAATTAAATAGATTTTTTGTGTTATGAAATTTCTTATCAATTTTATTATTTTTACATAACTCACATGTTAAATTTATGTAATAATTTTTTTAATAATTATATTTTAAATTAATTATTTAATAACTATTTATTCATTTGTATTTAAAAAAATTAGATACCAAATATATTTTCACAATTTTTATTTTTGAATTTAAGTTTTCATTTATATTAACATGTTTTCTAATTTTCAAAAAATTAAAAATGAAACTATTTTATAAACATAAAAATAGAAAATAAAAACAGAAAATATTTTTTAGAACCAAATGGACCCTAACATTCTCTTATCTTATTTTCTTTTCATTTGTTCGTCTTTATTTCTTATATCATCTAGACCTTGGAATTTAAGAGATTTCGAGCAAGGTAAGTAGCAATAAGTGATTATTTCTAGTGGATGGTTATAGATCAAGGGGGAGAAATATTAGGGTACATAGATATGAACAAGGTGTAGAGAAGGAGAGTGAGAGTAAAGATCTAGTTATATATGTTTGTTGGTATAAATCTTTTGTTTAATTGGTTTACTTTCTTTCATTTAAGAGAAAGAGGTCGGGGAATAATCATAAATCAAAGGTAAAGGAAAACTTGAAGGTTGAAGGGAGTTCCTCCATATTCATTTTGCTAAGGCAATGAACTATTATTCTTTATGCATTCCTATAATTGTAAGTAAGGAAATGGTAAGTTGGGTAGATGCTTTTCATGTGGGACTAACATATTAAGTTGAATATTTGAGTAAGAGATGTTTAAAGCTTTAAGGAAACAAATTCTCAGTTTTGGTATTGATAATGTTAGAATAGTACCAGTATCATTGGGTTTCTTGAAAAATCTATGTAAAATATGAGGACGATATCGATATTTTTCTTCGCAATATCGATACACATGAGTGGATATCGATACCAAGACTGATGGTATCGATACTCGATATTCAG